ACCTCAACCAGCTAGTTTCAACATCAGGATGCTGCATACACGTTCATCTATTAATAATATCCAATCCAATGGTATGATATAACACAGTGGGGCCCAACCTGGGGGTCACCAAAGCTTCATGGGGAGTTGAAGGGTCCTCTTGATTTTAAGGCTTGTAAGAAAACTTTAAAAGTATACACAGCAGGCCTATATCTCAGCATTTGGTCCACTTCTGTAAAGAAAAGTAAATGTAAAGGAAATTGTGTAATCAAACAATGACCAAATGCCAGAGACATGAAAACACTGAATTTGTCAAAAAAAAAGAAGCCCATTGAGTCTGTATGATTGTGGAAAAGCTACAGGAAATAATCTGCTCGAAATAAATCCAATCATTCGTTTTACACAAACTTCTTTACTGAGTTCACTATTTGTGTTCACTGTACAGTTTTGCATATGATATGAAATATCCATAAAATATGTCACTCAGTCAGGGGTCTTCAGTTTATTAAATACAAAAAATGGGTCCCTTAAGGAAAAGGTTGAGAACGCTATGAGCCAAGTACAATACATACATTTATGCTAATTATTAGATTTACAATTTTGAAAGATTCTTCAGCAGGTAGTTTGAGAACACGTAACACTATTTTGAAGACATTTTAAGATTCCTCAAAGATCCTTCGAGTGTTATCCAATTGGTTATTTTGTGCAACACAAGAAATAATCGCGAAACAATTCTAATAATTTGTGTTATGACCTTTTAAGGCCACATTTTAAACCTTTAAAATAAAACAATGTATTGATTTTTCTTACCAAGTTTAGATACTTTTACTAATGTGCCACAATAATATAATGTTTTTGAGTTAAAATATCGTCATTCCCACCCTCTTGCCACCCCATGAATACTTCTCTAGATCTACCCCTGCATACAAGGTGAGAGTTTATCAATGGGACTTTAATGCAATCATCAATGCAAAAGTCTCAAATGTAAATATGAGGGGCACACTGATGCCAAGCTATATCTATATTTATAAGTGAAAATGCATGAAATTATTCCTTAAAGTACTATGAAAGCTCATTTGACCATCACAGGTACAATGTACCTTGGAGTGTTGCAGCAGAGTTGTCTGTATTTGTGCATGCTCATGTGTGGAAGTTTTACCATGTCATGCTTGTGCAATTTAAGCAAGTTTTTCAGTATCCAAAATGTGTAATACCAAGGTCCCGAATAAATGTACTTATTTTATTTTCCTCAATTAAAGATAAATGTGTTTGATCACACGTACACACTAGAGAGAATCTGAGTTTGAGCAGGCACCTGATCTTAGAAACTTGCATACTGATCATGAACTTCAAACTGTTTCTGAGACCATCAGGCTAAAGGCATTGAGGTCAGATGTCGTGTTCTTCTCAACAGGTTCAGGGGGTCACCTGGTACTTTTTGTGCCTCTGGACATAGGAGGTTGTCACACAAAGGGAGCTCATCTGTGCACAGACATGTGCTACACACTGACCCCTGTAATGTAGACCTCCCACAATAGCAGCTGCAACATATTTCTGACAGTACAAGAGTCCTTGACTCACCTCTTGAGCTTAAAGCTGAGCTTCTCCCAGACAAAATAAAAACTGAGAGATGCAGTAGAGTAACTCCTGGCACTCTACGTTTCTAACCAAGCAGCAGAGATTGTAGTAGTGATTTTATTACACTGGGAGTGGTTGAGTCAGAAGTTTTTGTTGACAGTGTTAAAGTCTTGATTGCGTGAATTTCCACTCTTCAGCAAGGTGTGTGGTGGAATCCCTTTGTTTCCTCTGCTTCATTTCTGTGGTTTCCAGCCGCCCGTCATACTTTCACATCAGCCAGTTTAGATACTGAGAAAACCCCCAACCGAGCCGTAAACCCCCCGGGGCAGTAGAGGCCCCATCCGGACCTGCCTGGGCATGCACCTGCCAAGCCCTGCCGTTCGCTGCTGCTCTGCTGCTTGTCTCGTCCCCTGCAGCAGATTCCCCCGGCATTCTGCCTCTGTGGAGGTCTCTGCGTCTGCTGCTCCCTCACTCGGTTGAGACACGTTGCTCGTGGCTTCCGAGAAGTGAGGCAAAGCAGGCAGGATCAGCATGGCACACATGTGGTCTGCATGCATGAGTCTGCGTGTGTGTCTGTTTGCACGATACGCCTCATAACCCCTCAGGGTTAAGACTCTCATTAGCACCTAGCCAAAAAGATATCCCTTTCATCTCATCTGTCCATACGGATCAAGGGAGGCACATCCTTTGCAAACAAAGACAAATAGGCTGGCAGATCCACAGCCTGTAGTCTAAACATGCTATGTCCACCACAGAGTCCCATGCGGTTAGCTAATTGATTCCATCAGAAATCCCAGATTTACTGGCTAAGCCACTATGTCATAGTGGTGGGCAAGTTGTTTAGCTGTCCTGAATAGAACCCGAAATGTAGCAGAGGTTGGCACAGTTGTCTATATACAGAGATATCTCACTTGGGCAGGAGAGATTTTCCTTTGCATTGACTGATGTTGTTTGGGAGCGTGTGACACCAGAGTTCAAACCAAAGCTCTGTGCAGAGCATCATCCACTCGGGTCCATCCCATGACGGAGAGATTAATGGGCAGTAACCAAGCTAGCAGACAGTGTAATTAAGGTCCTTAGTCACTCAGTCACCAGACAGAGTGAAGTCAGCAACACTTGAACTCAGTGATGTTGGTGGGATTGGGACTGGCAGATGAGCTAATGTGGCTGCCGTCGCTTGGGTACACCCAAAGCAAGAACATGAATGGAGATTGATGAGCACTATCAAATTACTAACTCTTCATCAGAACATCAAATTGGGCAAAACAGCATTTAAGTTGGAAATGAAAGAGATGAGAAGTATTTTTCCTCCTGCAGAGAAGTGTTTGAAAGTTTTGAATAGTTTATGTAACTGTACTATCCTGGAGGAACTGTGATCAGACAGGGTTTCATACTGAAACATAAGAATTGTTTGTTGTGTATCAGTGTCAGTCAGAGGGCTCATGCCAACAACACAAGTGGCTGGTTATGTGATCATCATATATTCCAGTAGACCAGCTGTAAAAGCAAAACAACTCTCATGGCTCAGTGTGTAAGCTCCCCTGGCAAACATTGATACCTGGGATCCTGCTGTAACAATGCTCACCTGAGATCAAAAACAGTGTATGGGAGGGGCGAAGGGTGTCGGGAGGTGGGGGCAGGGTTTAGCCATATGTAGAAAGCAAAAGCGCACATGAGCTGTGAACCTATCTGAGGGGGGATTTTTTTCCCTGTGACTTCAATGGCTTGACTTTTGTGTTGGGGTGGGGCACTGCGCCGCACTCATCTGTCAGAGTCAGTGGCTGCTATGATTGGGTTGCGCCCTGCGGGGGTCCTGAGGTCATCCTGAGTGGCGCTCTGATCTGATCAGCGTCAATTGTTCCCCCATGATCCTCTCATGGCCTCCAGCGCCACGATGTCGGCCCAGACTCAACCAAGTGCTGGAGAGTGTGCTCGACACCGGTAAAGCTCTCCTCTTAGAGCTAGGATTTGGCAGCACATCTTCACATCCCTAACCCTGTACACCCAGCTCACACACATCTATTGTAAAGCATCCATCTCTTAAGAATGCGGACATGTACAGGAATATGTGTTTCTTCAGCTGGTATATATATTAATGGCCAGAAATAAATAAACAAGAAATTTTAGTCTGACATCCTACAGTATTTGCATGACCTTCTGGGTGAAACCTTACAGTTTTGTTCCAGCTTGTCATCACAAAAAGCATGTTAAAACATGGGCATGGAAAACATGTTTTTTCTCTCTCTTTTATTTCAAGAGAAATAAAAAGCAATTAAAATTAATTACCTGAATGAAACTATAATGGTTTCTGGCATCACAAGCTGATCTTGGCTGTCTCGTTGTGGTGATTAATCCCTGCTTAGGCACATCTGCACGGGCCTTCTGGTGAGGCACGTACCTTCAGATATGCTGTTTTCATCCATCACCAACAAGCTCAGCTGTGTACGCTGTCATTCTTAAAAAAATAAGCTACAGAGGATAACCGCAAATGAATGATGGAACTGCAGAGGCAGGTGTTTTCATATATTTGAAATAGTGTAAGGGGGCTTTTCCCAAACTAAGCAGACAGGTTCTTGTGCGTTATCTGTTAGATCAGCAGATCTGTGTATGCTAACAAGTGGGAACACTTTGAAAAGTCAGTACTAATAGCTTGTATCCCTGCCCTGAAGTGGGCCTATTAGCCTAACCCCTCCTAGTGGGAAAAAAATTACAAAATAAACAGAAGATCTCTAAGTATAAACTACATTACACAGATAAGTCGATAAAACAATCAAGTATGAATCACTGTGCAGTCACACAGCTACGCTTACAGTTAAATCTGAGATTAATAATGAATACAGACTCCCTTGTAGAGCAGGTTGCCTTTCACGGACGACTCAGGTCACCATCATTTATTGTGCTATTGTGGGGCTGAGTTCAGGGGGGCCACAGACTTGTACTGTGAGGGAGGCAATTTCACTTCCTTAATCCTTTAAAATGGGTAAAAGCGCTAGGGTTGGGTATCATTTGAAATGTTTCTATAGCAGTGCAGATGCAAGTTTACTTTTCTGATACCTCTGAGAGAATGAGACAAAGTTCTCAAATGTTAAATATTGTCTAAACACAAACAGCAGTACAATACTTTAAATTAAAATAGTCCAAAATTGGCAAAATGTTGCTTTAAATCAGTATCTACAGACACTTTAGCCAGTAGCAAAAAAGCATTGCGGTTCAATATAAACTCATAGAAGATAATCCTATATTCAGTCCAACCTTAATGGAGCTCATTTGTATTTGCAGTGATGGCCTGTTAGGATCTGGTGTTTGGTTGTGGTGATAAACCTATTTTAATCATGCTGCAGTTCTTTTTAGTCCTAATCCCCCAGAGTGCTGAACACAGACGGAGGTGTTTTCATGCCCAGCACATCTCGCTTAATGATGCTTCCCCTCTCTGTGTGCCACAGGTCCCTGGCCCTTGGGCAGCAGTACTCGTCTCTGGGCTCCCAACCCATCCTGTGTGGCTCTATCCCCGGCCTGGTGCCCAAGCAGCTGCGTTTCTGTCGCAACTACATAGAGATCATGCCCAGCGTTGCTGAAGGTGTCAAGCTGGGGATCCAGGAATGCCAGCACCAGTTTAGGGGCCGCCGGTGGAACTGTACCACCATCAAGGACAACCTGGCCATCTTCGGCCCTGTGCTAGATAAAGGTAAATTATTTACAAGTGCTTGCTAAGAAAAACGCCTGAATCTTTATTGCTTTTTATTGATGTACATTTGTATCTGAGGCTCACAGTATAAAAGTAATGATCTAAATTATCTCTGCCAAACAACACCACTTTAAAAAATAGGTTATATATCTGAGGCTATTGCAAGCTGCTACAAAACATAACATTTAACAGTTTCCAGCCTAAGGCTCAGCACTGCCTGTTCTCTGGGCTTTTGCTGACAAACGACTAACTAGGGCAATTACAATAATATACACCTTTCCTGGCTGCTGTGAGAAATGAGTGCAGGTACAAGCACCGACACATTATTCAACTTCCATCTATCTTTACCTTCAATATCGCATTAGTCTTCAGAGTCAGTGGCTTCTTTTCGGTTGTCCCAACCGTGTTTACACTCTCTTACATGAAAGAGGGTCAGCGTGGTAAATCTATCAGCGAAACCTGACAAGTACAGCTGATATACTGGAGACATCCATCAGGCGCTTCACACGCAGAATACTAATTGTAAGATACCTCACCACTAACTGTGTGCTTTAAACAATCCCACGAAAGCTGTGACAGTGGGAAACAATAGGCACAGGTGTCCCGCTGAAGGCCTCGCAGTCCCTAAATTTAAAGGTAGAAGTTTGAGTGTTGCGAGCGAGGCTGCTGATTGGAAATGAATTACCCTGTATGTCAGAGGGGAAGGAATCTGGGCAGAAATGGGCAGTGTGAGCAGTCCAAGCTCCTCAGTCAAATAAAAGGGAGAGGGGAGGCCAAATGAGATTACAGGCAATAGAAAAGGGCCGGGGGGCTCCGCTCAACCCCTACTGTGCATGAAGACCAGTGCGCGCCTCACACAGTCCAGCTCCCACGGACGCCCCATTCACACGCCCTTTTGACTCTGTCATGAAAACAGGCTGAAAGGGGATCTCTCCCAACCCAGCCCGGGTGTGCACTTTGGGATAGGGAAGCAAGAGAAGGAAGGAAGGAGGGAAGGAGGGAAGGAAGGACAGCGTCTCACTTTGGGAGTGATGAATGGAAAAGTTTGAGTTAGGGAAGGGAGAGCTACCACCAGCCCCAGCCACCTTAAGCTGCGCGTTGGCCATGGTGGTGCCGTTGGTGGATGCCTGGAGGAAGTGGGGGGTTGAGGTCCTGTGGTGGGTGGTGGTGTATGGGATTTCAGCTCAGGGTGTTGGCAGAGGGGTGGCTGGAGAGAGAGAGAGAGAGAGAGAGAGAGAGAGAGAAGAGGGTCGTGGGGGGGGTTAGGGAGTTTAGGGAATGCCAGCTCCGGGCAGAGCGGGGCTGTGGGGGCGCGAGTCGCTGGGCTCTTTGTGTGGATAATACAGTGTGACACAAGGGAAACAAAGGCGGATTGATGGGCCCAGCAGGTAGCAGGAGCAGCGCTAGCCTTGGCTAACAGCCAGAGCTCCAGGGGCCCAGGGCTCACAGGCCCCTGTTGTGGAGGGCCCAGCTAGGCTTGCCAGGGTGAGCAGGGATGCCGAACCTGAGGACTGTGTGTCATCCAGTCGTGCAAGGATTCACTGGGAATTTAGACCAAAACTGTGAGAATGAAGGGTAAAAATACAGTATTTCTAGACACACAAAAGTCTAGTTGGTATTTCATTGTTTATATTTAATAAGATACATCTAAAAAGAACAGTTTGTATTACGTTTCACAACAAAATACCAGCTCAGATGATCCATCCGACCTTCCACCCTGTAAATTAAATGCATGCTTACTCTCAGAAATGCCAGAAATATAGATGATCAGCAAAAAAATGACTCAAGTGATATTAAAAAATTTAAAACAGCACAGATATTGACCCCTGTGGCATCAAACACCATAAATAAAACGATATTTTTGTCTCGTAACTTTGCTTGCAGACACTTTCAGAGTAGGAACATATGACTAGCCTCCAGCCAAACATCAGTACACTTTGTTTGTGGGTTATAAAGTAGTCTGATTGGGTCCTGAAAGCTTCATTGGCAGTTGAATTGCTGAGGAATTTCTGGCTTTAGTAACTACTGTGGTCTGCAAAATACAGGTTTTATCCTCTGGTCGTGTTCATACAAATTTCAAAACTCAAATCACACAATTGTGCATATCAGACCGCTCATTGCTCTTGAAAAGTCGAGCCACTGCTTAAGGGTACCTCGCCATACCTCTGTGTGTGTTTTTCTATGTCTGTTACAGAGCTAGCGGAGTGTAATGGGTGAGCCACGGTAAGTGTGCTGTGATTGTGAAACAATGGTGTCTGGTTACATAATAAGCTGTTGCCTTCAAAGGAGGCGTAACTCCATCCCTCAGTGCAAAAAAGAAACAGGCCGACACACTGCTAGGTTTCACCAGAAGGCCTTGGGCTCTGAGCAGGGACTGGTAGGAGGGGAGGGGGTGACAACATTCCTGAAACACTATCCAGATGCAAAGCAGCACACCTCAGGGATGACAGGAGGTCACTGAGATCCCGCTGAGCGTTAGGCCCTCCTGACACAACCACAATGGGCTGATGTCACTGCAGGGACTCTGTTTTTAGGCTCCTTCACTGTCTCCATGTTGTATGTGCTTCCTCATCGCTGATGATGATCATATGGTAAACACTGTGAACCATTTTTTTTTCTATAGGGTTCTTGTTTTTCACAGTGGCAAATACCGGTAAATAAATGTGCCTTCTCAAAGATGAAATGTTGTGTTAAAAGGTTATTGCCTAGAGGTATCCCTTTCAGTACCTCTGTCTGGATGTTGGCAGTAGTAAAGACTGCCTTGTCAATGTTTAACACAAGATTGACACCCTCTATCCCTTTTTTTCCTTCTCTCTGTCTTTCTGTCTGTCTTCATCCGTCTCTTTCAGCAACCAGAGAGTCAGCGTTTGTCCATGCTATAGCTTCAGCAGGCGTGGCGTTTGCAGTGACGCGCTCCTGTGCTGAGGGCACATCCACCATGTGCGGCTGTGATTCCCACCACAAGGGACCCCCCGGGGAGGGCTGGAAATGGGGCGGCTGCAGTGAGGATGCAGAGTTTGGGGTGCTGGTATCCAGGGAGTTCGCAGACGCCAGAGAGAACCGGCCAGACGCTCGCTCTGCGATGAACCGACACAACAACGAGGCAGGACGCACGGTAAACACATTTAGACACTTGAGGAAAGTGTGCAGGGATGTGCTGTTAGGTTTCAATTTTTCCAAACTGAAATACACTACCTGGTCAACAGTATGTGGACACCTGAACATTACACCCACATGTGATTGTTGAACTCCAAAACCATGGGCATTAATCTGCTGCTATAACAGCCTCTAGTCTTCTGGGAAGGATTCCCACAAGAGTTTGGAACCTGGCAGCAGGGATTCGCTCCCATTCAGACACAAAAGCATTAGTGAGGTCCAACACTGATGTTGTGCCTTAGATAAGGTCTGGCTCGCAGTCTGTGTTCCAGTTAATCCCAAATGTGTTGGATGGGGTTGAGGTCAGGGTTTGTCAAGTTCCTCCACATAAAACTGTGAAAACCATTTATTTATGGACCTGGCCTGGCTGCTCATGTTAAAACAGGAAAGGTTCACTGTCTCACTGTATGTTACGGCATTAAGATTTCACTTCATCGGAACTAAGGGGCCTTGCACAAACCATGAAAAACAGAGGTGGACAGGGGAATCCACATACCTTTGGCCAGACAGTGAACAAATTGAGTACCACAAGTAGGCTAGTTACTACTGGATATCTGTAGGACTGACTCTGCAAGATAGAAGCAGGTTCCATTGTTGAGCACACTTTGTACTGAAGGATGAAAGTGCTCACATAATTTAATAACCTCAGCACACATTGTACTATAAATTAGAGCAAAAGGGGGAAACCGAGATGCAGTAAACAATGAACAATGATCTGACTATCTTGCAGAAGGAGTGGCTTTAAACAAGAACCATTACAGTTTGGGATTACTAATTGTTTATGTGACGGCTAGGGGTTTTGGTATTTGACTTGTCCGCACATTTCTGAGTTTCCACTTGAAAATGAGCACTTGACTTTGAATGACTGGTTAATTACTCATCTAAGCAACACCCTCTCTCCCGTCTTGCCCCCACACCTCGCCTTTCATGCCTTGCATCCCAATGAAAAATTCCCTGCCAGTCAAATAACCTGAGTGAGTTGAGGGGGAAAAGAAGGAAATCAACTCCGACTTAAAACATCACTGGCTGCTGTCGCCGCTTGGAGAAAATAGACTCTCCGGCTGCTTGCTGAGGGGCAAATGGTGGGACCACACGGCAACAAGACAGCCCTTTGATCAGAGCACACATGAGCAGCCGGGGCGACCACAGGAGCTAGCTGAACAGCAGTACTGTCAGGAGTCTCCTCTCCTCTCCACCTGGCCCTCTCACGCTCCATTATTTAGCCCCCAGGGCCTCTGAGACTTGATGTTGGCATGACAAGCTTCACAGTGTGATGTCACTAGTCCATCCACCCCTACATCTGCCCCCCCTCCCCTACTCTCCCCTTCCTCACCCAGAGGTGCCCCAGCCACCTGCCTTCCGCCCCAGCTGGGGGAATTCTGCAGCTAAATATAGCTGTTGAATTAAAGCACAACAAAATCAAAACACAAAGGTGAAATATGCCCCGCGGCAGCACACTCATGATGTGAGCCAGTGACTTCAGAGAGAATTAGCAGCAGCACAGAGCCTCTGTACTTCACAGCTGCATGACACTTAAATAAATTGCAGCCAGTGGCATATTGTTTTTCTTGGCCAGCTCTGCGAGTCTTTTGTGGTTTTGTTAGTCTGCATTACTGAATTTCCTGTAAATTTGACCGTAAAATTCCGATAGATCTTGCTTGGCGGTGAGTGACTTGACTGCCCCATAAGCGCTGAGTCATTAAATTAAGACCAGCGCATTTTAGTTAATTACGCTTTAAAAGGATCTACCTTGTCAGGATCAAATTCTCACCACCTGTCGGCCCTGTCGAAAGGTGGCTCTGTGGAGTTTTACAGTTTGACTCTTCCCAGAGGATGGCAGACGCAGTCAGCTGGAAATCACAGCAGTTCGAGTGGATTCCAGCGGCAGCTCAGAGACACAACTAAAAACAAGTCAAAACATCCATCATCAACTTCTCACCACCTCAAGCTCCAAAACTCGACCACAAGAAGTGTGTTTAGGGGCTTTTAGGCTAAGGGAACACATACAGAACATACAGATCCTCTGTGTTTAAGAGGTTTCTACAGATATTTTGACACGTTTTGCCATGACTCTGGACTGAAATCTGTTCTTTGAATCCAAGCTGATGGATCAAGCTTCATAGCCACCTTTTTACAGCCTACAGGCAGTGACTTTCTACTATCAAAATATACAGTTTTCAGTGGAGTTTTGCTTTAATGCATCAGGAAAAATGGGTTACGAAAGCTTAAAAACATGGATGTTTGCCAGGCTGATAAATAGCTGCTTTTTAGTCTATATTAAGTTGTATTTATGGGTATTGAATCTGATTCTTTTAAGACAAGAAATAGTCATTCTGTAGAAAGCTGATTATTGAATCTTGTTTCCAGGTCATCAAATACCGAGGCTTTGGGTTATGGTAAATGAGAAACAGACAAAGTGGCTTGGAGTGAGCCACACAACACAACATGTAGAGTTCGTCGAATACCAACGCTTTTAGTTGCCAAAGTGTCGGTATTTGATGAGCAGGGAGTGAGACCCCACTTTTAAAGCAACCATGTTTAGGACCGACATTGGTCAAACATTCCTACAAAGTGAACATAAAAGTGTCTTCTGTGTTCCTCAGACCATCCTTGACCACATGCACCTGCGCTGTAAATGCCACGGCCTGTCAGGGAGCTGCGAGGTGAAGACATGTTGGTGGGCTCAGCCAGACTTCCGCATGCTGGGCGACTACCTGAAGGACAAGTACGACAGCGCCTCGGAGATGGTGGTGGAGAAGCACCGCGAGTCACGAGGCTGGGTGGAGACACTGCGAGTCAAGTACAACTTCTTTAAGCACCCCACTGAGCGTGACCTGGTCTACTATGAGGGCTCACCCAACTTCTGCGAGCCCAACCCGGAGACCGGCTCCTTTGGGACACGCGACCGGGCCTGCAACGTGTCCTCGCATGGCATCGAGGGCTGCGACCTGCTGTGCTGCGGCCGCGGACACAACACCCGGACTGAGAAACGCAAAGAGAAGTGCCACTGCATCTTCCACTGGTGCTGCTACGTCAGCTGCCAGGAGTGTGTGCGCGTCTATGACGTTCACACATGTAAGTGAGAGAGGCCTGTGCTTTCAGACAAACTGACTGCTGGACTACAAGTGCTGCCCACCCGCCCTCCAACTCCCCCAAATCCTGCACGACCTCCCTGCTTCCCCACCCTCCCTCAAGACACAGACTTGCACACTCTGCATCCCATACAAAAAAACATATTCATCAGCACACACACACTCAGGCCCTAATGGGTAATGGCACATCAGTAATGGATACTTTTTTGTTTTTTAATGAAAACCCTGCTCTAGAATCCGTCTTCCAAACCACTACATTTCCATAATATCTGACCAGAGAGTGTCCTGTGTTGACCTGACTGATAGTCTAGTCCGCTCTCATGGGAAGAAGCTAGAGTTGTGCCCCCCCCCCATCCCGCGCCTTTCTTTCCCTTGCAGCATTGGGCCCCCTCCCCTCCCCTCCCCCTTGTCTTTATTTATTTCCCCCCTCCATGCCAACACAACGTCTGTGGCATGTACAGTAACACTTTTTACCTGTGAGATTAATGCAGTAAAAAAAAAAAAAAAAAAAACTTTCAGACTCTCTTTGCTTTTGAATAAAAAGCATCTTCTAACTAACACCTCACTTCTCTGGCCGGTCTGGCCGGTTTACCTTTTTTTTTTTTTTTTTTAAACTAAACCAACCTCTACACTGTCACTTAGTCGTAAGTGATACTGAACACGTCGGCAGCCCCAGGAAACCATCACTTTGTAACTACTGAACTGAACTGAAAACAGCAGGCAGGTGTTGGAAGTGCCACAGTCCTGTCTTTTGTTAACTACTGAGCTGATGAAATCCTCAGTGTTGCTACTCCCCTGCTGACTGACTCTACTGCACCAGTCGACCGGGGAGCCTGGAAGATATATGCTACAGCCTGATTTTATAGCCCTGCATTTCTGAAATATTACCATTGGGCTGGGACTGGAGGTATGCAGCATGTGTGTGAACAAGCATGCTCATTCCACTAACTAATAACCCTACACATGTATATGTATGCACTATTCAGTTACACATTACTCCAGGTGGTAAAAATTTGAGCGTTGTTTATGCGAGCAAATTCTTCTTGGTTGCGAGCTATCGGCTCTTATGAATGACGACTTTGTTCTGCATTCGGGCACCATCAACCTGTAAATTGCTCATGATTTCCACAAAGTGTGATGCAACACGGTCATACATTATTCAATATAAGGAGCGTTGTGGTGAACAACAGCCAGGGAAAGATAGCGCTCAAATTATGTGAGTAGGAGATCATTTATGCATCAAACTGGAAGCTTAAGCATGTTTAATAACAATTCTGGTCTCATGAGCAAAGGGATTATTGGGAGCTCGTTTTAGCAAACACTTCAAGCGTTCATCCGGTCCATCTTACAGAATTTTGTCTGAAGCAAATCTTTCTTTTATCACTGTAAAAAAAAAAAAAAAAGAAAAGAAAGAAAAAAAAGGGGGACATGTGACGACATGTGGATGTGGACAGATTCAAAGTAGGTTCTGATTGGCTTTCACATCCTCCCTTCCTTCTCTCTATATTTTCCCCTGAGTTGGACAGTTGAGGTTTTTAAGAACCCTGATTTATGAACTTGTACTCTTGTCAGTACACCCCAAAACTGCCTAGCTCTTCTGGTTTTGGAGATATTGGAAGAACAATATACTGTAATTTACTCCAAATATTTTTTTCAGAGGCATGGATGACTGCCCAGTTGACGCTGACTTGTAATTTTTAACAAAAGGAAATGATTTTCAGATCATTGAGGAAAAATAGCTGTGATTTCTGGGTGGACAGAGAAGACTTCCAGTTCATGTAGATTCTCGAGTTCTTATCCTGAGAACATTGAGCAGAAAGAGGTTGGGAAACTTCATCAGGAGCCCGATGATTTATGTGTGCAAGATGTGGATGTGTGTGTGTGTGTGTGTGCGTGATAGTTGCCAGTGACAAACAGAAGTAAAGTGGAAAAAAGGATGGATGGATGGATGGATGGATGGCAGGCTGGCTCTTCACAATGGTGGAACAAACTGAGAGAGGTTTCCACCCAACATGTTCTGACAGTCCCACCTGCTTCCTATTAATTATATTCAACAGCAAAAACACACGTTACCCAGTAGTGTATAGGCTGTCCTCTCTTTGTGACATAGCTTAGCATTTGTGTCATCTTCTACACAGCCCCTCCCTACCTGGGCCTACCTTTCTGTGTTCAGTTCCCTCCAACCCCCCCAACCCCCTCACCTTTCCCTCTCCACCTCCATCTCCCCCCCGCTATATCCAAAGTTTTGTACAAATGTTTTAAAGTGAATAATTCCCTTTTTATTTTATAATCGTAAATGTTATGTTTTTATAAATATTATTTATTATACAATGTATATATCTGTATGACTGAACTAAGATTATATATTTGAAGAACAAAACTGTCTCATGCTTTTTGTTTTTATGCCCAGAGGTACACGCACACATTAATAACCGCACTTCTAAACTTCTCCTTGCATAACAGATAGCATGATCAGATATCTCGTCCCTATACACAGTTAGTGCTATAGCTGGATTACATATTGTACATAAACAATCAGAACTTCCATTTTAAAATGAGGCGTTTAAAGAACATTTTCTTATTGTCAACAGTTCTCATGAAAAGACCAAAACCGACAGTGATATATTTTATTCCTGCGTGTCATAGAGCTTCATTGTTTTCCAAAAACAATTAAAAACACATCACTGAGCCACATGTTGCACTGAGGGACAAGTTCCTTCATCACTATGAGCACACACACACACATACACACACACACACACACACACACACACACACACACACACACACATTGTAGTTTATTCTCAGTCGATCTCACACTGTCCTGCTGCGGGAAATAGTCCTCAACAGATGCATGCACATTTCCCAAAGGGGGGACCAAGTCAGTCGATTGCAAGTCACAAGTAATTCTCAAGTCCTAAAGTCATAATGCACTCTTTGCCAAATGTAAAGCCATTTAATCAACAGAACAAACTAAGTGATTATCTTTGGCATAGTTCTATCAACTACTAGCGCTCAGTAACAATGTTCTTCATGGTTCATTCCTGCAACCTCACCTGATGATATCGGATCAATTTAAACAAAGAGGATCTTGGGAATTAAGGGTCAACTTGCTGGGAATAAATGGCGTTGATTTAGGAAATAAAGGAAAATTAAATCATTTGTGGCACATTTTTTAATCTTGGGGCTTATGGGAAGGTTTTAATTGTCATTGGTGTTAAAGTCCAAGTCAAAGTATTTGATTTTGTCTAGACTGACTAAAGTCCAGGTCATGTGACTTGAGTATTTACTCTAACCGAGGTCATGTTTAATTAAAAATACAGTGCCTGACTGCTTTAGGAAATGACTGAGCCTTTGTACCCAATGAAAGTTTATATTCATATATTGCTGGTTTTGGTCTTTTCATGGAATTTGTTGCCAATAAGAAAGACCAGCCTTTGCCTAAAGAAAGGTCTGGCATACAATTCAGTGTGAATATGAAATATTATTGAAGAATTGGCTGTTAATTTGTAATATACAGCAGTTCAGTTTAATAGGACACATGATTAATAATCAAAAAGCAGAATGTAGAATTATGATATATATGCTTTTGTTTAGAGCTTTTATTGTTTTATTGCAATAACTTGCAATATGTTTACAAAGAGGTGAACATTCATCATTATTCATTATTACAAATAGAAAAGAAATGGTTACAGCTTCATTCTTATTTAATTTCACTTGTATACAAAGAAAGAGAAGACCCCGCATTGTGGAAGCATGGCCATGAGGAAGGAGTTACTGATAACCTGAAACAATATTTTTGCTGGTTTGTGTCCACAGTCCAGAAGGAGTGCATCGAGAAGTCTACATCCAATGGGTTTAACTTTCTCTGCAGCCCACACACTTGCTGCAGTAGCTACTTAGTAAATGGCTGACTATGTTTTCTTGTTGAGATTGCCCAACACAGATGCTGTGGAGGTTAACCGCGAATATCTGAGCAGATTCAGCTCATTATGAGATGCCAAATTTCTCATAATTATGAGATAATTACGCTGTATCATAATTATAAGGTAGCTCCTTATGAATCCAACATGCTATAATTATGAGGGGAACACTTGATAATGAAAACAACTGCTGGGTTGTTTTTCCTATAGGGACTGTTATAAACAGAGACCTACGTACATTTTCCTCTGAGGACACTAACCGTACATCCAAACTTCTGCATGGAAACACATCTTTAAAGCAGTTTGAGCCCCCTGGCGTGACATAACTTCATTAATTTCATCATCAAGAGAGTTCCTTGTTAGTATTAGAATTAATTTATTCATACAATAAAAAGGTCAGACACAGGCAAGTACACAACATGATAAGAACAAAGTAAGATCTTAAAGTTATGGAGACAAAATGTCCTGGAATGATCAGATTACAAATCTGTGCATACCGATAAGGCCTTTATAAACAAACTGTGTTACGATTAGTGTTTGTGCATGCACATCTACTTGCCACCAAAAGGTATCTTTTGCATTGACTCTTGTATATAGAATCCCAGTGGAGTGCTAGGGGCATCACACAGATATTAAAGCACTAGTCTTCAGGAAATGCAATGCAATATACACAGATACAACAAACACTGCATATTTCTCTTATTTTACATGTTCACATAGTGCTGAAGAGGAGGAGGTTGCCTTGCTGGTTTGCTGCTGCAGTGCGGAGAGAAGCACACCGAGCTTCAGGGATGGGAAGGATGCAGAGAGGGAGATGGAAACTATCTCTCGCTTGCTTCCTCCTGCCAGCCTCTTTCAGGCTTCCGTTTCTCAGCAACTGAGTGAAGAGAGACAAATAAAAGTGAGAAGAGACAGGCAGGCAAAGGAGACGTGTTGCCACAAGAGAGCACCTGTCTAGTCGACCTATTTTTAGGCACGCCGTGCGCTAACTATACCATAAGTCTCTGAGGCAGTGATGTGAAGCAAAGCTCTGGCTGCGAGTTGAAAAGCTGTTCAAGCTTTTGTTGTTCATCACCCTGGGCAGCCTCTCCTCAAGGGGCGCGTTTCACAAAGCAGGATTAGCAAGTTAGCTAGATAACTTTAAAAAGAGAAATATTTTCTGAAACTTTGACATCATCAATCAACATGTGAGAATGAATATTAATTCATCGTTTCACAGATTCAGATCAGAAAAACTGGGACACAGGACAATCATTTCACAATTATCTGAAGAGCTGTCTGATCCCAACACCTTCAAGACTGATTGGACGGTTTTATGTAGTAATGCAAGTAACCATACCCTGGAAAAATCTTTACTGGAGACTATGTAACACAATAACACAACTTAAAGGAATAGTGCAACATAGATAGTGACTGGCTGCTAACTCTTGCCTTAGCTTAGCATAAAGATTGGAAACCTTTTCTAAAAATAAACTTCTAAGTAGAGGTTAGTTACCCATACATTTTAGTGGCAGCTTCTATTTTAACTAGTTAAACACGTTTTAATTTGGCTAACACCACTTGTGTATCATTCATTTGGTGGAAGAAATGATCCTTTAAGGGTACGACTTACTGAACTGAACTAACAGTTTACAGATTTCTACATTAGCTCCCCTCATCCTGCACATGTGTAGCCTGATGCAGACGCTGCAGTCTTACCGTTGAAGGATGCCTCTTTTTCACTATGTGGCTCCACTGAGTCTAGATTGCCACAAACTTATCAGAACCCAGTCTGCGGGGACAAAATGTTTATTATTAATCACACTTGATACAATGATGAAAATGTAAACATTAAGTTTTCTCCTCTTCTGCGACATTTGAAAATGAAGACTGGTAAAAGTGACAGATGTGTGCGTGTGTGTGTGTGTGTGTGTGTGTGTGTGTTCAGTGTCACCGACGATCCCGCTGCGCTTAAAGGAGTCGGGTCAGAAACAGGAAAAGAATACTTACGCTCCTTCATCCTTCAGTAGAGTCAGGAACTTGCTAACTCTGTAGCCAGGATCCATCTAAAAAAGACATGCACATTACTTTTTAGTGCACATGCATACAGGGTAAAAACCTCATATTCAAGCAGGTCTTATTTTCTTTTTTGAACAGGCATCTGTTTCATTTATAATTCAGAAGCAAGGTGTTGAAACATCAGAGCAATTTGAAATAGTGGCAGGTCCTGGAGTTCACGCTGCCGTTTGTACAAACAGGATTGTGCAGAAGGGGAGGGAGAGAGGAAGTAAAATTAATGGCAACCTATGCAATAACTTACAGTATGTCTGGAATTGCCTGTAGCTACTAGAGTGAAGACATGAGAGCAGTCAGAAACATTGGAATGAGAGGAAAAAAGATAAAGAGAAGTACGAATGTGTGTATGTGTGTGTAGCTGTGCGGCTGTTTGCAGCATGTCTCGGCAAACACAGGTTCATACTTCTTCAGAATGGGGTGTGTGGGGGGGGGGGGGGAGGCGGTGCAGGGTGCAGAACATGGCTGCATTTGTGCATACCACAGCAATTACACAGCATCCAGCCTCAACAAACAGGCAGTACACATCATCAACATACCACAGACACACAGTCAGGGGGAGAAATTAACACCAGCCAACAGTCAGATCAGTTCTTATAACTGCAGATAGAGAAGCTTTATCTGAGAGGAGCGCTGAAGACGCCGCCGCTGTGAAACAAAGCATCTCTGAATCCGACAGTACAGTTGGAATCTACTGTAACTGGCTCAGGTTTAAATGTTCGTGCCTGAGTCAAGATCTAACTGAAAAATGTCTTGTGGAAACTCAATTCATATCCGACAAGTTAAGCCTTAAAGAGGGCTACAGAAATGTAGTAGTGCACTTCCATGAAGATGGAGGATCTGCAAGAAACTGAATTTTGGTCCCTGATGTGGTTCGAGCTCTAAAATCACCAGATCCAACAATCCCCATAATTCAAACTCTTATTGTATTCAGACCCTCACTGCCAGTAAACGTCTTTCAAACACAGAGATAACCTTTATGACATAACTATGACATCATCAGGGTCATTTTCACAGATTTGACAAACGCTGTTTAGGAGCCACCAAAAGGCGTTCTACATCTTAACGTCAGCTACATTTCGCAGCAAAAGTCAACAGAGAGCTGAATACCACCGATGTCGTGTTGAATAAACTGTGTTAACTAACGATTCAGCTAGCGAGCGAGTCTGCCTACAAGGTTTTATTCATCCCTTCAATAACTCGTAACTGAATGAAATGATCGTCGTCGTCTTACTTTTTCTAACTTTAGCTTTGTTTTACTTTTTTGATTTTTTTGTTTACCAGTACTTTATTTAAGCTGTGTCCTCTCTAAAAATGCTTTTGTTAACAAATTCCCCCCCACCCCCGGGATCAATAAAGTATTTCTGATTCTGATTCTAATCTGTTTCCAGCACTCTC